CTATTATTTTACTTTAAATCTATATTATAGATATAAGAGTTTTCTTACGCTAAGATATAAGAAATATATTTATTTAAATCTTTATTTAGATTTATTTAAAATAGTTATTCTCGACGTAAGACGATTTAACTATTATTTATACTCTATATAAACCTCTATATATATTAACGTATACTTTTTATAAATATAATAACTAAACGCTTTTTAACGCTTTAAGAATTCTTAAATTTAATCTTATAATTATTTAAAGATAAAAAAATTAAATATCGCTTATTAAAGTTTACTCGATAGTTTTAATTAAAAAAGAATATATATATATTATTTAAATTTAAAATAACTTTCTTTTTTTCTATTAAAATCTCTTAGATTTTTTTCTAAATTATAGAGCGTAGTTTACTTATTTTAAGAATATAATAACTATATAGTTTAGTCTTATAACTTTTTAAAGATAAGAACTTTAAATATCGCTTATTAAAAACTTATCTATTACTTTCTATAAATTTAATTATAGATTTAAACTTATAATATATACTTAATATATATAATAGCTCGAATAAAGTAGCTATAATTTATTCGACTTAGTCTAAGTTTATTTAGATGAAATAAATACGTTTAGCATATTCTATGAGTTTTTTAAGAGGTAAAAATTCGATATATACTAGCTTCACCCTTATCGAATATATTTCTTTTCTATACGTAGAGATCGAAAAGATATAATATATAATATGAAATTTGAGTAATTTTCGAGATTTATCTTAAAAGATATAGGATATTTCTAATTTTACTCGATATTTATATATAATTTATCGTATTTTAAAATCGTTTCATATAAAATAGATTAATCTTATTATAGAGCTTTAGAATTATAAGATTCTATAAATAGATTATAAAGATATAAACTTTTAAAGAAAAGAAGTAAAAGTTGAAAAATTCTAAGTCTAAAAAATCCTATACCTTTCCGGCCAGTATCCTGCTCAACTGTAACTCGGCAAAAGACTTTACATTGCCGCTCCCGTAAAGATTCGATTTCAGCCGTGCATCGTGATTCGTGCCGGTCACTCCTTTAGGAGCACCGGACTCGAGTGCATCTAACGTTGCTGACATGCATGCATTGCCCCTCATGATGTTACCATTGCACTCATCGTTCCTACTTTAAGCCTGTTCCCTCTCTTTCGTCCCTCCATGATGCCCACATGCATGTCATCATCTAGCTCTTACTTCCTATTGCTGGGTATGCCATGGAATCAATTCATGGGAACTTTGCGTACGTACACACCGCCCTCCCTTTCGTGCTACTAGCCAACCGAGGCCAGCTCCGGGTTCACCTGTACATGGTCCCTGGCTACGAACCCTCTGCCCTTAGCTCTCAGTGAGCGTGACTACGATCGATGATTACAACATCGATAGTCGTTTCGATTACGTTCTCAACGAACGAAATATCGAACAACAGAACGCGTCAGATCGAGCGTTAACTCGATAATAGCGAGAACGAAGGCGACCCCACCACTCTTACAGTTATCCGGTTCTTTTCGACAAATGCTACTGCTATCCCTTTAAGGTTGCGATAGACAATAGAGATCTAGAACAGCGAATGCATCTGATACAAGCAAGATTAGACACCGCTTCCCTCAAATCTACGCATTTATTTCAGGCACTTTGTACTTGACCAAACAAAGCCGAAAGGCCGAGTCCCCAATCTAGACCACATGGCTAGAGGGGCGCTCCCCCGCATAGGCACACACATACACGCATGCACACGCCCACGCCAACGGAGCGGGCTGACAATTGGAAAGCAATCCCCAAGAAAGATAAGCAATAGTCGGATGATATCACATCCTTCGCAATTCTTCGTCATGCGAGTTCACCCTGATTCTCCTCACCGCCCCATGTTTCACGCCTTAAATCGACCGTACCATCGGTCCTACTTACCACTACGAGAAGGCTTCTATCTCGGCTTCACATCCGGCCGGCCAGAACGTTGCATCTACAATGTAGCATGTAGACTACTGTCTGGCAATGTAGACTTTCCCTGACCGGCTGGTCAATCTCAACTGTGATCAGCTGTTTGTTCACGGTGGACGATGATCAGATGAGCTCTACTACATCTCGGGTCCGTAGATGGTGGACAGAAGAAGAGGACCAGGTACTCCGACAGGAAGCAGCATTTCAGAGTAAGTATATTGCCGGGGAGTTCATCTCTTGATGTCAGGGACTGATGGCGAGGTCTTTGCAGTGAGCCAGGGAAGCCTTAACGATTGGAATCGCATAGCAGCAAAGCTTCCTGGTCGAACAAACAAGGATTGCCGCAAGCGGTGGAGTAAAATACCCGGGCACATAAAGAAAGGCGTCTGGAGCAATGCCGAAGATCAAAAATTGAAAAGTGCTGTCAAGAAATTTGGATACCGGTAAGTCCTCATGAATGAAACGGTGTGACGTAGATATAGCTCACGATTAAATACACAGCTGGACACACGTTGCTCAGAGCGTAGAGACTCGCAATGCAGACCGTAGGTATTTCTCTGGATAGAACATCAAGCACTTTCACCAACAATCGACTTAGAATGTGCAAAGCGGTGGAATCATTCTTTAGATCCAACCCTCAATCATAGCGAGTGGGTGTCCGAAGATGACAACCGGCTGTTTGCAGCTGTGGCGTCTTACGGACGCGTTTGGAAGACCATAGGCGAAAAGGAATTCCCTAGACGATCGGCCACTGAGTTAAAAAACAGGTCAGACGAGAAGACATACATCCTTGAAGTTATCTAACATTCGTACCTACAATACAGATTTGTCACCATAAACAGAAAACGTCAACAATCTGATCTCTCTACACCTCAAACGGCCTTTAATGATAGTACCGCGCCTGCCTCGTCTCCTTTCGAGGTCGACATGGAAAGCTCCGAATTCACAGACAGCCTCTCAGATGACAACGAAGCAGGTAATCAAGATGTAGATTTCGGCACCGACATCCCCTCGCGTTCGGCTCCTTCCCATACCACATCAGGATCTAATTTCCCCTCACACACAGCCTTATCACTCACCACACCAGGGTGTTACTTCTCTTCGCAGAACGTATCTCCCTCTGCCCCGTCAGGAATTTTCCGTTTTACAGAGAATGAATTCCCTGCAAACCTACCTAATCCCCCAGACGGCAACGACTTATTCAGCAGCACCCCGGGCACCTTCTTCAATCAGAACGACAACCCTCTGCAGTTGGACAATCAGACATTTGATCTGGGACCGCAATGGGATATGACACCGTTGCCTTCGCCCGCGCGGAAGAACGACGATGCGATGATGGGCGTGGAAGTGGAGCAGGAAAAACATGGCAGCACGTTGATTCTCGAAGATGTGCAGCCGCAGATGGTGACGAACATCATCAAGATGCTCTTTGAGTCAAAGTCGGCTGTTAACATGAAGATTGTGCGCCAGGAATAGAGGCTAGGCGCGTTGTTGTCAACACAGCACAACTCAACGATAAAGCGATCTACCAGAAAAAGCCACTTTAAACATCGCAATCCCTCTTCTTAAGCAGATCTGAAAATTTGTAGCACAAAGTGAGATCGTAAACAACATCTTCATGTTCTGCCGAGACGATCAATCTACTACCATTATTGCCAAGATATGAGATCCCGCTCCCTAACGTGGGATGTAGGAATAATGCCAGAGTCAGAGCAGGTTTCATTATCGCAATCCAGGTGCCAAACACAGACCTTTTTTTCTTCTCAATCGCAAAAGTCGCGTTCTTAAAACGAGTCTCTTCTCACACAGTCGGGTCATTGGCCTTTTGCAAAGAAAGAGGAAGGGGGGAAGTATTGGATTTGGGGGGTTAGGGGCGGGGGTACGGCGGACGACGGCTGACACTACGACAAAACTAAAAAAAATTCTCTTTTCGTTTTTTTCTTCGCGATTTCTAGTAACTCTCTTCAAAATATTCTTTTTAGAATATTCTTAACTCTTCGAGAGGTACTTTTTAAGGCACTCTTTAGGGGCTACTCTCCGGAATACTCTCCGGGTACTCTCCGGGGTATTCTTCCGGGTACTCTCCGGGGTACTCTTCCGGGTACTCTCCGGGGTACTCTTCCGGGTACTCTCCAGGGTACTCTTCAGGATACTCTCTGGGGTACTCTTCCGGGTACTCTTTCGAGTATTCTCCCGGGTATTTACGACGGATAACAACTAATACTACGATCGAATATTTTATAAAGTTCTTCGTAAAAAAAAAAAAACAATTCTACGGGACTTTCCGCGGAACTTCCCGCGAATTCTTTTAAGAAAACTTCTTTTCGCACTTCGAATATTTTCTCGAGTGATTTCTCGAGTAAATCTTTAAGAAACCCCTCGAGTAACCCTCTAAGTGCTCTCTAAAGTACCCTCAAAAGTATATCCTCGAATAATCTCTTAAATCCCCCTTATATACCCTCTAAAGGATCCTCTAAAGTATCTCTCTAAAATATTTCTTAAAGAAATCTCTTCAAATATTTTTTCAAAGTCGCGGGAAGAAAAAAAAAATTAAAGAAAAAAATTGGGTTTGGTTTTGTCGTAGTGTCAGCCCTCGTCCGCCGTAGGGGGGCGTTTATGATTGGAGAGGAAAGAAAAAGGCTTCAAGGCGGATGGATCGAGTCGATTCAACGGGCCACTATTTGTTAGAGCGTAAATCAACAAGACTACTCAGGCATGCTATTTTGTGACTTGCTACGCTGCAGTGGTGCTCTGTGGTGGTGGTGGTAAGGCTCGCAAAGGTTGGGGCGGACCATCCATTGAGCTAAGTTAACGCTCGGGCACCAGGACCAGGTTTACACGGGTCACGGAGTAGAAGCCGGCGGCGTCAAGGCGCTTGCTGTTGAGTTCTAAATTAAAGTATGACGGTATCGAGTTCAGCTCTTACTTTAGGACCATAGGTATACACTCGCAATCGCTCATCTGCCAAACCTTGCACATCGGGCTTCTGCTCCTCCATAGCAAATCACGCCTACTCTTGCTTGCCCTTCCATCGCACCTCACACATAAGGCTTTGTCTCTCTCTCGCACCAGTTCCAAAATTGATCCGCTGTCCCCGTACCTCCCTCCGCGCGTGGCTTGAGTCCCTCTTCGATGTGGTCGGGGATGTCTCCGAAGCGGCCCCATGGAACAACAAAGCCGCCGTTGTGCTCGGCCTTGACTTCGGGCGAGAGGGCCGCGAAGAGCTCGCTGTAGGCTCCGAAGAGGGGAGGTTTGAAGAGGATGCCCTGAAGAGGAGATGAGTTAGTGGGAAAGGTGCGGGAGAGGTGTGACAGAAAGCAGAAAAATCTGGGGTATGATAGGTGTTTGGCATAACCTGGGTAGGAGGAGAAGACATACCATGATGATGCTTTGCACCCTGGGCATATGGCGCTGCAGCTCGGTCTTCATTAGGCCTGGGTTTACGCTCTGTCCAAATTTAGCAATCGCGTCCGTACACAGGATCAGAGAGGAAAGAGGGTCAACCAACCATGCTGATGACACCGTCGCCACCCAAACGCTTCGCAGCCTCTGACGCAAGGAACACGTTACCGACCTTGCTCTGCATGTAGTTATGCATCGTGTTCGCCAGGACCTTAGGACTCCCGCTCTTCTCATCGAATTGAATACCACCAGGTGGCACGAAAGCTGCTATCATTGAGGAAACCCAGACGACTCGCACGTTGTCGGGAGTTGACTCTGCGTGCGCGGTGCGGGTCAAGATTGGCTCCAGGAGATGGTTCAAGATGAAGGGGCCCATGCAGTTGGTCGCCATCTCGAGATCGTAGCCCTATTCGGTGCCGAACGTTAGCGCTCGAGTTCGCCAAAAATCATTGCAAGGGCACTCACTAGCTTGCTCTTGCTGCCAGCCGGCGGGGTCATCAAGCCGGCATTATGAACCAAGACATCTAAGCGATTCTCTTTCTGGAGAAATCCGTCGACCGCGTTCTTGATAGTGGGAAAGTCGGCCAGGTCAAGGATCAAGGGCGCCAGATGGCCTTTGCTAGAAGGCACACTGGCCTTGATGCTCTCGATGGCGCGATTGACCTTCTCCGATGAGCGGGCGGCGATGTAGATGTTGCCGCCTTGACCATAGAGTAGCTTGGCGAGCTCGTATCCCACTCCTGATGCTGAACCAGTGACGATGATGACCTGCGAGGGAGGTTAACGACGTTCTAGCTTGAACGCCAGGAGCAATGCCTACCTTGCCCTTGAGGCTGCCGACATCCTTCTCAGTGAAGGTTGGCGCTGGAGGAAATGCCTGGCTGAATGCCGAAGGCATGTTGTCTTTGTTTTTCTTATCGTGGGGGGGGGATGGTGGTATGTATGAATGTGAGTGAAGGTCAGGGAGAATGTCGCAGCAGAGAAACAGCCAGAGTTTCTGCTCAATGGATATGCTTGTGTATTTGTCGAAAGTTGTGTTCAACTAAAGTCTGCTTGCAAGCAGTGGAAGAATATTCGGCCCGGCTGACCTTTGTTTCAGACCATTTTCTGACCTTTTTTCTGGATGGTTTTCTGACCTCGGACCATTTTCCAAGAGTGTTTCCGTGGAGTTTCCCGACTCTTTGTTTTAACTGTTTTCTGACCACTCTTTCTGACACCATTTTCTGACCACTCTTTCCGACCATTTTCTGACCATTTTCTGCCGCACCTGGTCAGAAATTGGTCTGCTACGCGGCTTTACCGGGTGACGGGCCTCATCGCTAACTTTACCAGTTACCTTTTACTACCTTACTTTACCTGAATCATTTGGAATAATTTCTATCAATACCTTACTCTGTACATACTTCAAAGTACCTCACGTTCACAAATTAAATAATTGCGGTTAAAGTTACTATTTACTGCGATTTTCTCTTAATCAGCGAGTTAGTCGTATAGATTCTTGATAGGACCTGTCGTCGTTGGAAGTTGTGGTAGTAGTGGCTGATCGAAGAATGCAGATTTTGGGTGTGCAGCCTCACTTTTCTGTCACCCGCGAGCCGAACGGATTTACTGGAGGGACCCGAGTACTCCGTAACTTGCCCTCTCTACCATCGTGGCCATGCCAATCCGCTCGACACAGTCATCTGCACTCTCGCTATCGCACCTTCCTTGCTTATCTTTGTTGCTCGCGCCACAACAGGGCGGATCAAAATATCCCTGGTCCAACGGCAGGATCGTTGCATCGTTCGTTTTCTTTGGCATCTTGATCATATCCTTTGTCGCTATCCACATTTGGAAAGGGGCCCTGGATGCCACAGTGTCCCCTCGGATCTTGATGCAACGTAGCATCATGGCCGGCACGTGCTTTGGAATCTCCTCGGGCGGCGCCGTCTTCCTCTTCGTCTACTACATCCTACTGCATCCCCAAATGGTTTCAGGCCATCGGAGGAGCCTCTGCTACCGGCTCGGGAATCAGATGTCTGCCTCTCATCCTCAGCCAGATCCTTGGCCTCGGCGTTTCTGCTGGACGTACCACTCAATATGGCTACTACACTCCAGTCATCTTTCTCTTTGCCGTTCTGATGGCCGTAGGGTCCGGTCTGCTCACCACCCTAAAGATCGGTACCAATACAGGGACATGGGTAAGCTACCAGCTCGTTCTCAGGCTTGGTTCAGGTGCTGGCTTCAATCAGCCCGTATTGGCCGCTCAAACGGTCTTCGGCTCGGCTACATGAATACTATCCTCCGTCCACTCGTCATACCTGTCGCACTGTCATGACATACTCTCTAGACGCTCTAGCCTTTGTCGCAACAAAATGCGGCTACGATGGGCTTTGAAAGTCAATTGCTCAAATTTGCACGCCGGAATTCTCAATCAGTATGGCAATGTTTGGTTAATAAGCTGTGTATGTACTCCGAACGACCCTTACAGATTCTGCTCTAATCTCGGCGCATGAATCCAGCACAGACCGTTTCGTTTTGCGTAGCTTACATCAGAGGGGGCGTGCACCATATATCAACCAAACGTACAGCCTTTCGGCGATCTGGTATTAACAAGGTTTCAGAACTTGATATCGTGATGTCTTGTTATCGAATCTCGCCTCATTGATGGGAAATCCCAGTGAAAAAAGGGGAAGTTAGTCCAGCTGCCTATACACCGCCTCGATCAATGATACTGAACTTTTTTCCGGAGTCCGGGCCCCGATGAAGCGATATCTCGGATCGACACTAGCAAAAAGATTCTCCCAATCGCTCGCCGTACGTTCTAACGAATTCCAACCAGTTGCTCCGATCATGTCAAGATTCCTAAGGAGCATTGTCAGAGTAGCCTTAACAGTCCGCCCAGAAAGCAGCTTGAAAGAGAAAGCTCACCGGCCCTGCTTCTGTGACCAAGCAGTATTCGCCATCTCAGAGATGAGGAATTCATATATCACCACTTTCGAGCCATCTTTCATAGCAGGTAGCAGATTCTTCAAGATTTTAGTGCAGTAGCTATCTGACCAATTGTGCAATATGAAACGGAAGAAGTAGACATCTGCGCCTTTGACAGGCTGCTCTGTGAAAAAGTCGTGCGGCATGAACTTGACGCGCCCTTTCAGATTCTCTGGCAGCAGGCTTTCTCCCTCTTTGACTGTACCTGGAAGATCCTGCACAATGAGCTGCAGTTTAACAGTCGAGGTGGCCAGTGCCCGACTGACGCCACCATGGCCACCTCCGATGTCGACGACGAGTCCATCTGCTTTGTCCAAAGCGGCCCAGTCGTAGCCGTTGATCAGGTGGCCAATGTCGTACAGAGATCCACGGGTCATGAACCGCATTCCTCCACCAAAGCGTCGGGATCGCTCCGGTGTTTTGGCCAGTTCGAGATAGAACGGATCGCCGGTGTCATTCTCAATATTAAAGCCAGTTTCGTTGGGCTCGCCAGATCCTGGCCACTTCTCAAATGCCTCGAGAACCTTTGTCGACGCGGGAGCTAGGTCTTCGAGAAGAAATCCAACCGCGTCCATGGCCTCGGGGTCTTCCTTGAGGAGTCTGGAGATGGCTGTGTGTTGCACGTAATTGATTTGAGGCTCGGAGAAGACTCTGTTTACCATTGCGGCTTGGATGAAGCGCCGAAGAAGGGCTTCGTCCAGCTTACTGGCGCGCGCTATGTCGGCGTAGGATATCGAGCCATCTGCAGGGACGTATTGTGGGATGTTGTAGTGGTAGATAAATCGCAGGCTTAGGAGGTCATTGAACTTTCAGGCTTGTCAGATCGACTTTTCCTCACCAGCAGCATGACAAAAATGGATGAACCTTCTTGATCGCAAACTTACCAAAAATAGCGTTTCTAGCAGCAACCCTACTGGTCCATGCGCAAGCTGCTTCAACTCCTGTGTCGAGTCGACCAGAGACTTGCGGCAATCTTCAAAATCATCGGGAAGGTTACTCAAGGTGTCTTTCTCGAAGGTCGAGTATCTCAGCCCCTTAGACGCCGTATACTCGTCAAGCCGTTTGGCGTTAGCCAGTATGCCTTCCGCGATTTCTGTCAGCGACGCCATCAGTGCTGAAGGGTATGACTTGTTCCTGTTGGGAGCTATTGTTCAGCCCGGCAGTTGGTCATCCTGAAATACTTATTATTCGGGAGCTGGATGCTTAGTGAGGCTGTTGGCTGAGACCCACTTCTGGGTTCCGCCTTGCACGGACCTGAGTGTAAGCACAGAGTAACGTAACCTGAGTACAAGCACAGGGTGCACCATTCAGCACCTTGCCTAAAGTAGCTTTTCGAATCTCGGTAAGATGCGAGTAGAGTCGAGGGATATTTCCGAGCCTTGCTTGCCATGCCATGTGACCGATATCTATTATCATTGAATCGTATCATTTATCTTATGCAGGTACCACGGGAGCCACGTGCCGAGGATCTTGGGCTGCATGAATGGTCGCATTAGCGTCAACATGAATTTTGATGAAGAAATCGCTAATGGAAGACTTGGTCAATGTTTTGTCTGTCCATTTGCGAACTCTCAGCGACGCACAGTAGTGGTGATGATAGAAAGCATATAGATTTAGTGGTAGGGCTATCAGCTATTATATAGCTGACGAAGATAAAGCACGGCTATCTATGGCTAACTGTATAAAAGGAATAATAATGAAATATATATGGAAGGATATAGGAAGGACGCATGCATAGAAGGAACTAGACACGCTGACACGAACATGAAGGCCACTTGCTTTCGCTGCTCAATTGAGATGGGGGATTTTGCTACTCAGCGGCAGACAGGTAGTGGTCTAGAGCCAGCCACCGAAGGGGAGGTCGCCACGCCGGTGACGCCGCAATCCAAGTCAGTAAGACCCTAACTACCACCACACACCAGGAGTTTCATTAATGTTCAGTTACAGCGGTGGGTTCCCATAATTTTAATTTTCCAAATATAGATCCTTACCGAATCATACCCCTAATTACTGAATCATACCCCTACACCAAAATCCACCCAAATATAAAGTATAATTCGGTAATTTAACATTACTTACGGAGGTTGCCACCGAAAGTCCTAAACATTAGGGTTAGGGCTTTAAAACCCTTGGTATTCTTGATAAATATCTTAAATATCTTAAATATTAATACTTTGCATAGTAGCGACATTAATATTATATATATAGAGTATATATATATAAAGTATATAGTAGCGATATTACTATATATATACGGGGTATATAATTACGATATTACTATATATATAATAGCGATAGTAGCGTATATCTAGATATATTATCGAAGTTATTCGTTTATAAAACGATAACGAGTATTAAAAGAGTCGTAAAGAAGAAGATAAGTAACTTTATAATTTACCCAAAAAATTATATATAAATTATTAATATATACGTAATTTAAAATATTTTTTAGATTATAAAGCTATTTAAGAAATTTGCTAAAATGCTAGAAATGCGAAGAATATCAAGGGTTTTAGCGTATGTTTAGGACTTTCGATGGTAACCTCCGTAGGGTATAATTTGATAAATTTATCAAAGTAGCCTTAAACTACGAAGGAGACAATCCGCGATCTAGCATATCTAACCATAGAAGTAAGGGATTTTCTCCAACCGCTAAAAACATCAGATGAAAGTCGAATAGGGGCAATTTCGACCCCTCGAAGGCCACTACGCTTCAAGATTTACGAAATTCACTCCGAAGACGCTTCCGAGGCCCTCTTACCCTAAAAGATTTAAATACCCACTGGGCCCAGATTTACTCGAGTTACCAACAATGTGTTTACATTTCTACCGCTAGCTAAAAAGCCATACCCGAGGATATCCGCACTTCACGCTATAGACACCCCTATTCGGGTCCCGTAGGCCCCGTAGGAGCCCGTAGGGCCCCACGGGGGTGTCAGATCTCGTCGTACACCCCCGTGGGCCCCCGAACGAATAATTCCTAATAATACCACTACGCTGCCGAGGCTGCGTAACGAGGCGGTGTGGGGTAAGCTTCGGGGGTCAAACCCCGCCCCGTTGCGCAGCGTAAATACCACCGTCATCAATAATCAAGTCGACGACTACTGCCAGACGCTCAGTAAGCCTGCCGCTATCATTAACTTCATTCAACCCGCTTATATCAGAAAGCTATCATTTAAGACCCTCGTCAAATCATACCCCAAGCAATGATAAATTACCGAATCATACCCCATATTTGGGTGTGATTTGGTGTAGGGGTATGATTCGGTAAGGATTCGTACTTTCGGGGTATGATTCGGTAATTTGCCCCGCAAATTCCTTCCTGCGACCTGTTCATGCTATCGTCAGCGCCGCAAGCATGTGGACGAGCTGCCTTAGACCGCGATGACGGGCGAGAAACTCCCGAACGGTCGAGAGCGGCTGCAGCATGGAAGATGTGGCGGAAATTGTCCGAGCAGTCAGGTAAGGTTGCCTGGATCTGTACCTGCAGTGGTATGGTGCAAAGCAGCTTATCCCGAGTGTTCCGGCATCTCGTGTGTCACTCGTATCACGGTACCGTGCCATAATACAGATGGCTGTTGGATCGCCCGAATGAACAGTGATTGAAACCAACAGCCTTCTTTCAACCGTCTCCAGAAGATGGTGGACTGACGTGAGCATCCCGCCATCCTTCAAAGGGTCTCAAGTGAAAGTCTTACGCTCATCCTTGTAGGCTGCCACACTCTCATGGTCTCATCGTCTTAGACCGGATTCGGAGGAAGCGATGTTGACGCTCCATCGATCAAATGGACTCAGCCTGGGCCATCAGCTTTTTGTATAAGAAGTGTGCCCCCGAATGTCCACAGCGTTTTCATTGCTCTCTTACATTCCCTTTCTCCTCAACCTATTCAGTCAAAACTCCCTACCACATCATGCGATCAATGGCATACCACAGATCTTTTATCACCCTCCTGAAATGGCATCTGTACGCAAGTTGCTTGAGCAGCATCGTCCTAGTCTTCGGGAGCCCTCACGTGAGCCCACGGGATCTTGTGGGGAGAGATGTCAACACGACTCATGCGTCAAACACCTTTGACTATGTGGTTGTTGGAGGCGGCACCGCTGGCCTCGTCGTTGCAAACCGTCTTTCTGCAAACCCTTCGGTGCGAGTAGCGGTTATCGAAGCGGGTACCTTCTACGAGATTGCGACAGGGAATGCAAGTCAGATTCCTATAGACGACACACTCTACAATGGCAAAAATCCAAGTGATACTGGCCCTATAGATTGGGACTTCACAACGACCCCTCAGGCAGTAAGTTTGACTCCTGAGAGTCGACCAGGACAACCATGACTAACTCAGCCGCAGGGTATGAACAACCAAGTCGTGCATTTTGCACGTGGAAAGACAGTATGGATCTTGTGATAGGCTATCTTACTTTCATCCACTGATATTAGTCTAGCTTGGCGGCTGCAGTGCTCTGAATTACATGGCTTACGCGCGAACCACGGTAGGCGCATTCGAGAAATGGGCAGACGATGTTGGCGACACCTCGTGGACCTATGAGAATGTTTCCGACTTCTACTACAAAAGCACAAATTTTACGCCGCCGGACCAAAGCAAAAGGATCGCAAACTCGACTCCAGAGTATGACACTTCTACCCTTGGGACTGGGGGTCCACTTAAAGTTACCTTTGCAAACTATGCCCAAGGCTGGAGTACATGGATCGCCAAAGCCATGCCGCAAGTCGGCATTCCGTCGGTCAATGGATTTACCAGCGGCAAACTCATGGGCTCATCCTGGCTCGTGTCCACAATCAATCACACGACAGGGGATAGGGATTCTTCCGAAACGGCCTTTTTACGACCTTTTCTAGGTCGGACGAATTTAGTCGTGTACACCGACACTCTTGCCGAGAGGATCTTGTTCGATGGCCAAACGGCAAAGGGCGTTCAAGTCTCAAGTGGAAACAACTCGTACACCATTTCCGCGACAAAAGAGGTCGTACTGTCCGCTGGCACATTTCAGTCTCCGCAGCTCTTGCAAGTGTCCGGAGTTGGGCCTGCAGCTCTGCTCAAAGAACATGGCATTGACATTGTTGCTGACCGCCCAGGAGTTGGCCAGGGCATGAACGACCACATCTCCTTCGGCATTTCCTACCGCGTCAACGTCCAGACAGACTCAGCTCTCCTGTATGGCCACGCAATGCAAGAGGCAATTGAGGAGTTTGACAACGAACAGAATGGACTTTTGTCAAGTCCAGGTGGGGACTTTGGGGGCTATGAAAAACTGCCACTCGATATACGTTCCAACTTCTCCAAGCAAGCTCTTCAACGTATGTCTCACCTTTTCGAACCCTTTCCCGTTGTCTTTGCTTTGGGAATCTGGTCTGACAATCGAGCGTTTTCCTCTTTCTAGAACTTTCTACATTCCCGGCAGATTGGCCCGAGATAGAATGGTTCACACTCCCGGATTACGCAGGGAACGCCCAGGCTCCAGGCGCAGCGACTCCGCAAGATGGGTTTCAATATGCAACACTATTAGCAATCGGCGTTGCGCCATTGTCGCGTGGAAACATCTCGATATCCTCACCCAGCATGCACGACCAACCTCTGATTAACCCGAATTGGCTGACCGCGGAAACTGATATCGAGACCGCTATTGGTGGGTTCAAGCGTACCCGACAGATTCTGGCGGCGCCCGTCATGAAGGGCGTCCTTATTGGCCCGGAATATGTCCCGGGTCCAAATGTTACGACCGATGATCAGATTCTTCAGTACATCAGATCGGTTTTCAACACTCTTTACCATCCTAGTTCGACTTGCAAGATGGGTAAGCGGGATGATAAGCTGGCTGTAGTCGATTCGAGGGCCCGCGTGTATGGAACCAAAAACCGTGAGTGGCTGCAGCAGAGTCCAACAACGACAAGATGTTTCGGAGCTTACCTTTGCATTTAGTGCGAGTGGTCGATGCTTCTGCTTTTCCGTTCCTTCCTCCAGGTAAGCATGGTCCACGGCCAGATTGCTATGAGTTTAAAGTCTAACGCCGGCATTAGGACTCCCGCAGGCTGCAGTTTGTAAGCCACTTACCCTCATTTCTTGAAGCTATATTTTGCTACTCCCTTCACCTA